TGCTCAAAGGAAGACGAACTAGAGAACTTATTTTGTGTATAGCTATTTCTAAATAAAGTGAACAGATGAATTAAAATGTTAATGTTTAAGCTTTGTAACTGCCAATTGTCCATGAAATGATAAATACCTCTACAAATACGGTAATAAAATGTCTAACAAAATTATAACGGGCATATTTTTGTGAACAAGTACTTGGAAGAGTTTTATAAATTATACTCTCACCATAATTGTAGAAAGAACAAGAGATTTATTTTCATTTTATGTGAAGAATAAGCACTTGCCCATGGCATATTTCAGAGGCAGATTATATTGTGAAGTATTCACCCTTAAGGATTTACTGTTTTAGAGTAATTGTTAAATAAATTTGTACACCAAGTATGTGGAAAATATTAATTATTTTGCAAAATGTTTAAATTAAGTTTAAGATCAGAGTATATTTCTTTTGTATGTTCTATGATCCAAATGTTTACATCATAACTTTTTAGGTATCAAATGTTTTTCTTTTGCATTAAAACATTGACTCAGAAATAAAGCTCTGATATTATTATACTGTATGTAGCAAATGGAATGTAATTGTTTTATTCAGTCATTAATCTTTCTTATGCTGTATTATAAAATATTTATTTATTTTCAATCCTGTCTATGAATTTTTCTGTGTTCATACACATAATGCGTGTGCCTGTGGAGGTCAGAGACACTAGACTCCCTGAAGCTGTTTTTACAAGTGGTTTTGAGTCATCAAATATTGGCAATGGGAACTGAACATGAATTTACCGAAGAACAGTGTGCTCATAACCATTCTACTGTATCTCAAGCTCCCTCTTTGTCTCTTTGTTACTTTTATTCTATATTTAAAAAAAAATGCCAATTCTCCAGGTCTTTCTATATCCCCCTTCTTTCGTAAGATTCCCTGCACCCTGGGCACAGGGGTCTTTTCCAAGACTGATACTCCAACCAAGGACCATGCATGGAGATAATCTAGAACCCTTGCACAGAAGTAGCTCATGGCAGCTCAGTGTCCAAGAGTGTTTCCCAATAATAGGAACAGGGACTGTCTCTGACATGAACTCATGGGCTGGCTCTTTGATCACCTCCACCTGAGGGGGGAACAGCCTTACCAGGGCACAGAGCAAGACAAAGAAGCCAGTCCTGATGAGACCTGATAGACTAGGGTGAGATGGAAGGGGAGGACTTCCCTTATCATTGGACTGGGGGAGGGGCATAGGAGAAGAAGAGAGAGGGAAGGTGGGATTAGGAGGAGATGGGGGAGGAGGCTACAGCTGGATACAATGTGAATAAATTGTAATTCATAAAATTAATATAAAAATTTAAAAAAATGGCAATTCTATAATACTGACCCAAATTCTTTAGCTTATTATATCTCTTAATTATAAATACTTCTTCTAATATTTTTTTAATTTTCCATTTTGTACATGTATATGTATATATACATGTATATGTATATGCATATTGGAGTGAATGTGTTCACTAGTACAGGAACCCTAAGAGGCCAGAGAGATTAGAAACTGTGGAGTTGAAGTCACAGTGAGTTACATGCTACTCAGTGTAGAAGCTGTAAACTGAATGTGTGTCTGGAAGAGCAGTATTCTATTTTTGCCTGCTAAGAATTTCTCCAGCCCCAATATATACTTCTTAATGGAATAACATTTCTATACTACTTTTATTCACTTTAATTCCTTGTAGCCCCATCCCTCCTCCATTTCCAGCCACACTTTTCTCCCCTCCTCCATCCACCTCCCTCCTCTTTCCAAAAAAAATCATGGGCCATGTTATGTGTGTTCACTATGGGGAGATCATTGAAATCTAGGCACACTGACTTAAGCTCTTCAGCCTTTCTGGAGCTGCTTGCTTAACAGCCCCAAGGAAACCCAGCCCTTCCCATGCTCTCGCCAAGGTGTTTGGAGCTCTTTGGGTTTGTCCTAGGTTCATATAACAATTCCAACCTTATGAACCCCTTCTCTGAGTTTCTAATGTTTTGCACTAGGATGCCCAGGATTTACCCAAGATCCCAAGTCCTGTGCAGAATTAAAGTGCCTCTATGCCCTGTATACTTGTTTTAGTCACAGTTGGTTTCTGGAGTCTAACAAAAGCCTCACTTGTGGCTGTAACTTCTTTATCTTAGCTGTACTGTTTTCTCCCTAGAGTCTCCAAACTAGTCTCAAACACATGGCCTTCAGACATCCAAACATTCCTTTTAATGTCCCCTTTTTATTCACAAAACTTCTTGATTCTATTTCTAGATGACTTTTTAAATTTTATTTATTTATTTATTTATTTATTTATTTATTTATTTATTTATTT